TGAAACAAAATGAAACCTTCGTTAATTTTCAGCTCTCCTTCTCTACTCCTACAACCACAAATATCGTTACTGGAACAGCTTCTGCCCACAACAATAAAAGGCAATACTCACATGCTACACTCATTTTTGCTGGAAAGCCTTATTAATTATGTTTCCTCTCTCTACTACTTTTAACTGGTGATCTTAAGTTCTGACAGTACAACGATTAACACCACTATGCTATAAACTCTAGTATTACAATTGTACAAATAACAGTAATATTCTTCATATATCATTCTTCACAAACACACACACATACACACAAAAAAAAAAAACAACAAAGAAACCTCCAAACACCTATTCAAGGCCTTTGCCTAAATAAACATTCAGTATCTTCCAGCTGTAACCGTGAGCTTTACATCCCAATGAACACTTTCAATCTACTGACACAAACCTGAGTGATGCACAGAGCCCCGTCTGCACCTTCAGCCTGTTGAGTGACCTCAATAAACAGCAGCTACAAGGAGCAAGGGCTATAACTGACCCTATCCCAACATTTAAAATTAAACACCAAACTGGACATCTAAGAAAATCACACGAATAGTGAGAATGGAAGTGTTGATAGCTGACACTACTGTTTAATGGGCCATGCCAGAAACAAACACTGGCTTGGCTTGAATCCATGGGATGAAGAAAAATATCGTTGCCAAACACGCTGAGAATGACAAACTTAATATGCCAAGTATGATGATAACTACAAAAAAATTACCATTTTCAAAAGTTTAATCGCTGCATAGCACTAACTACACCTCAATTTGCTCCTCAGAAGATTTGATCTCTGAAAAAAAAGAAAGAGGTCAAGCAAGGGGAAGAAGATTCAAGTAAAAGAAAAAAGGCACAAATTCAGAAGCAAAAGGGTTAACAGGTTTTGTTTTCGTTGGTATTATACCAATGCCAGAATTACAAGGGAAAGACTAAAAAGAGCCAATTTTTTTTTATTATTATTATTATTCTTTAAAAGTAAAAAGTCAAGCCTATCTGTCACAGGGTTGTCCGGGCTGGAAGAACCGGCAGGAACCTCAAATTCCTGACCAAACCCTCTTCCACACAATGCCTCCTGAATGGAAGGAACCGAGGCCCGGCAGAGATAGCCCGCTGTCAGGAACCAGCCCTGACGTTTGCGGACAGACAGGGCTGGCCTCGCAGGATGTCAGAGCAGCAAACTGCTGTTCGAGATATTGGGTTTTCACACACTCCCAGCCTGGATGTTTTGCTCTTCAGGTAATTAAACAAGGAAACAGGGCTGATGTGTACGAGTCTGACCCCTGCGCTGCGGCTCCACGGTTCTGCACATCAACTTCCGCAGCAACCACCCCGAGCATCAGCAGAGTCTTCTATTGCTCTGCTTCTCCTAACACCAGGCTCTAAAACAAATCCTCCTGGAAATATCTGCAGCTATTCCTTTCCCCACTTCCACTCCCCCCATTTAAGAAGGGGCTAAATTATTTGCTCTGTTCCGCACACTTTGCTGCTTTCTCACAAAAAGAAGGAAAAAATCAAAGAAATGGGTACTTTTGGGTAGTTGTTCTTCAGCCAGCCATTCAAAATACTAAATTTATCAGGGGGAGGGGATGAACAGACAGAAAAATGAGGCAAGGGATTCCCAAATTAATGTTTAGTTTAAGGTCATTACTCAAAATGAAAAAGATTCTGAAAAGTCTTGCCAATTCATCCAACCAACTGCCAGACATTTGCTTATTTAGAAATAAAGTTATTCTGATTTAAGCATTATTGAAGTCTTTGTCTTACAAGAGGACATAAATCATAGAATCAGGCATTAGAAAAATAGACCTGTGTTTTCTCTTTTTTCCCCAAATTTAAAAAATGGGAAAAAGGCAGGTGTTACCACCTATACTTGGTGAAAACCCTACACAGGGCTGCTCTGTGACTGACCTAGTTTCCATGCTCTTTAGAGGCTATTTAAACAAAAATGATTTTTAAAAAAGGCAACACATTGCTACTTCTTTCTGAAAAATCCACAGAATAAAATATTGGCTGAAAAGAGAAGAGCCCAGAAGAAAGAGGAGTACAAAAGCATGCCTGCTTGTCTGTGTTCAACACAAAGAACATTAAATGAAAACAACTGGCACGCTGCCAAATTCCTATACAGGCAAAGAGATTCAAATAAATTGATTTCACGCATCACACTGACCTGGGATCAGTGAGCAGTGGTACAATACACTTGCTGCTCCATGTGGGGCAAAGCCCATTAACGTTATCAGAGTCACAATACATTGGGGGGGAAGGAGGAGAAGGAGGGAGGGGGGGCGCAGAGAAGGAACCCAAACTCTGCAAACTCAGGGGAAAAAATAATTTTGGAAAAGGAACTTGAGCTGGAGTGTTTGGTTTCAGTTTACTAATATCACTGCAAGAGCTCGTCCTCTGCTCACCTCAAAGGCTTCAAAGATCGTACTTTCAAATGAAAATAAATACTAGTGTCATACACACACACACACACACTCCCCCTACATTCTACTTTTAACACAGTTGTTCTCAAACTCAGTTATTCTCTGTAAATTTCCTCCCTTCCCCATCCGCTAACATTTTATATAGATTATGGGTTATTTTCTTTGTACTTCAAAAGCTGGATTCTTGCCCAGGACACTCTTACTGGCTCAGAAGGTAAGCTCACTCAGAAATTGCCCACTGCTCTTAACCTGCCCAAATCAACCTGACCTACAGAGGAAAAAATGCCTTATTTGCAAGGTAGCAACAAGTAGGGCAATAGTTCGCTTTGCAGAGTCACCCATACACACTTTGTCATACCAGAGAACTCTCTCCAAATCAGCTATTTCAAACTTCACTTTCTGACAAGGTGTGAAGTAATCCATGTGTGCCATGGAGTCTCTCCTTGTCATCCAGGCTTTGGTTTTTATTAAGCTCTTTCACACTGCAATCAAGGGCAATGCCAGCAAGCCACAGGTGTGCACCACATGAACAGATGAAAATCTGATTGTAAGGACAATTCGCTGCCTGTAATACACTTGTCCTCTTTTGCATCTGTGGTGTGTTAGAAGGGAGGTTTATTATTTTCATTGTACTCTTTAAGATACATTGGTAAGCAAGCAATTGTTTTGAAGATAAAAAAGGAAACCAAGAAAAGACGACTTTGAAACAGCAAAACAAAGATGAGGATGCTTGAAAGGGGCCACATCAACAGAGGTAGTCAGTGCTACAAGAGGCTGTTACTTCAAGGAGGCAATAGATTCAAAACACCTTTTACTTTGCCTTTTATTCCATTTCGGTATGAAATAGCAAGTCAAATCCTGGTCACAGCAAGATCCATATTAAGTTAAGCTCTAATAGTGTTGGCTTCATCAATCACTTATTCATATTAAAAAAAACAAACATTCATTGAAAATGTGGAGCTTCTTGGGCCATTTAAGACTAAAATTTTTGAGCATGTGAAAAACAAATACGTCCAGATGTAGGTACCTTACCCAGTCACCTCAATTCAAGTAAATGTCAAAATGGGAATGCTCAAAGATCTAACAACAGTTCACCCCTGATCACTCTCTAAGAGCTACAAAGCAGTTTTGGATTCTTCATTATCACGGTGAAAACTATACAATATTATTAACTCTGTAAGATGTGTCATAGAGAGGATGTGTTTATTTAGGTATAAGGCTACACTGCATGCTTCAGGCATGACACCTTTATTGTTATATTTATTTATTCTTAAAATCCTTTATGAAGACCCATACGGCAAAAGAAACCAACCAACAACCACCTGTACAGGGTACACTTGCACTTTGAAAAACAGACTGTAGATAGTAAAAAGGAGAATTAGTCAGAAGCTACACACTGCTAAATTAGCAAAATAAAAATGCAAGAAGAAACCCTGCTAAGATTATTCATTCTCTTCCAATGCTGCCTGAGTACAGGAAGGTCCCAGAGAAGCACTTACTTGTTTTAAACTGAGCTAGGAACTCGAATTAGAATGTAAATTCATTTTTAATAGGATTTAATTTTTTAAAAGTATGTTCACACTGGTGCACAAAACCTCAGGCCCAGCCCCTTGCCACAAGGTGATGTGCAGAGGCTCCCACTGGCACTCTCAGTTGTTCTCCATCTCTCCACACCCCACAGACAGAGCAGCGTGGGCCACGGTGTCTCAGGTGGGAAAGTAAGTGATATCATCAAGGCTTAGCTACCTTTAAAACTGACCAGAGCATAGCCTAGAATATTCAGACACTGTTCACCTTATTTTGGTATCATACTCTATCAAAGTTATGTCAGGTGATATGGTCCAACACTGAAAAAGAAAGTTATCCAAGTGTGTTGGAAAGCACTTAAAATCAGTTTAGCAGTTTCTTGCCATCCAAACACACCATTTTAGGAGAAAAAATGTAGTTACAGTAAAGATAGGAATGACAGTCATGCATTATCTAGAAATTTTGTCCTGCAATAGCAGATTTACTTTTCCAGTATGGTAAAAATCTTTACATACAAGAAGCAGAAATATCCATTCTCAATATCATCTCAATCAAATTTATCACAGATTCCCAAGCAATGAGTTTACCAGAGGCCTCCACTAAATTACAAACAAGCATTATGCCAATGTGACTACAACTGTCCCTTAACCTGGTTGCAAATACTGTTCCACCTCACAGTTCAGGAAACTGAACTTCATTATTTCCACAACCCAGCCAATAATATTTACATATAAAGAGCAACTATGTCATCAAAAACACAAAAAGAACCCCACAGTTAAAAATTTCACATATACATATTTAAGATTTTAGAAAAGTCATCACTGAAGAGATATTATTGGCATTGCTGTACTCTTTCTCAGTGATATTAAAATGAAGACAGCACCTTCATTGATTTAGGCAGACTCTTTGGAGGCTAAAAGGAAAGATTTCTTTTTTAATTACAGTTTACAAGGCAAGGTACAATCATTAAAAATAACTTCTAAAAGGTATGCACATAATAAAATCGAATATTTTTCCGTTCCTTACCTTGACAAAATTCAAAGTTCCCTTTTTTCCGGCAGTCACCTATCACTAAACTCAGTGCTCTCCAAGTGTTTCTTTTGACAGATATCATTCTCCACCAATCGCTCTGCTAATTTCCTCTTTCCTTTTCTGACTGGGACAGATACTATGTTCACCAGCCCAGAGATCAATCTTTTCTATTGACAACAACAAATGAAAAAAAAAAGCATATATCACAGCCAGTTTGAAGCACCACACCCCTATATTTGCATTATAATAGTAGTCTTTTAAATAAAAAGGGAAGACAGAAACGTTATCATTCTAAACCAATTAACCACATTTTTGTAGCTAATATAAGGCAGCACTTTAAAACTGCATCAATTCTTTGACAAAGGTTGTTTCACAACTTGCTCTGTTAAAAAAGTTGACATACAGAAGGCAACAAACTAAGGGCAGCCTATATTACACCTAGTAGTCAATTCCATAAAAATGCTTGGTCTTGAATACATTTACATAATATAAAATATTATATACTTTACCTGGTTCAACAGAAGCTCTAGAGAATCATTTATTAAATGAACATGGTTACTAAAAAGAGAGACCTCCCAATTTAGACATTGCTATACTGATTTGTACTTGTAAGTCATAACAGCAAACACATTTAAACAAAGAAAGGCAGATCAAAAACCTATTGATATATTCACAAATCATCCTCCCACTTTTGAAGAGACAATTTCCCTCCCACTCCAGCACCTACGGAAACTGTTTATTTGGGTTACACAAATACTCTGTCATTTGTATGAGTCTGTATTACAGTGTTGTCAGTTTTTCCAAGATATTAATATGCTTTTCAGGGGTTCATAATTATGTCAAGACAGAAAGGTTTTCAGAGCCAGGCACACACAGTTACGTACATGCTTCAGTCTGCAACCACTACTCAGGTATTTCGGGACATAAAGTTAAGCGTGCATAAGGAGCTGCAGCAGCTGCATGCATGAAACCCAGTTCAGCCCTCTCCTGGACTAGATCTTTCTGCAAAAAAAATGCATCGCCCAAGGGCATTTGCAAAAGATCACTTGTGTTTGTGCTAGAAATTGCAATCTATCCCACAAACAAGCACCCTTCCCAAATTAAAACAAACCTTCCCAAGTTAAGGTTACAGAACAAAGAAGTTCACCAAAGTCCTTTCTTTCCAGTGGCCCACAGCCCTGATAGAAGCTAAAATTCCACTGATTTTAGTGAAAACAAGTGGTAAGGACTGCAGGACTTCACCCAGAATTTGGCAACTGTGGAGCTTTCAATGTGATACAACTGCCTCTGGTATTCGGAAAATAATCTCCAAAATATGCTTAGGACTCCTTGACTTGTGTACAATAACTACTTTTCTAAAATGATTTTTATTAGTATAAAATTCTCGACTTGTCAAAATGTTCTTACACAGGCAATACATTTACCTTTCAGTTGTGCCTTACCGTGAACTGTGTACTTTTCAATTGCCCAGACTTTTGCATAACACTTTACATTTCCATAAATGCATACAACATTCTCTGAATTGTTGTTATTGTTTCATCTGATTTTTATGGCAATAAACTCATGCCCCTACCGAAACTGAAAAATCCTTCACTGACCAAGTGGTCCTAATAATGTCACTGAAATAATTTAAACATTAAGTTTTCTACCAAGTGACGATAGCACAATCTGGTTGAAATACGGTCTTACAGTGGAACATTAAATTAACATCATATTTTGGATTCAGAATTACACACAGCAGCCATCTCTAAAGATGTATTCATGTTTTGCTAACCTTTACTAATTTGGCCACTAGAAACAATTATGATCAAATATGTTAAATTATGTAACATATAACAATTCAATATTTGTGTCTGCTGAATAGCAGACTCCTTTTTCATGGTTGATGAAAGACTTAAAATCTCTTATTGTAAAAAAATTCTGACTCTAAAAAAAAAGTACCCATCTGTCATCCACTTTACAATGAAGACATCACTTCAACTTACTACTCTTTCTTTGTTTCAGACCCATGTTCATTTTTTCTATAAGCCACATTTTCAAAAGTGATGGATGCATTCTGTTATACCCATTCCACACTAATCTCCTTTCTTAAATATATTTTTGCTTCCTGAATTGTAAACTGCTGCTGTTGTTCAAATGTACACACAAAATTGTCCAATGTCTGAACTTCACTGAAAGCAGAATGCCTCAAACAATTTGTAGTCTTACAAGAGTGTTTTAAAAAAGGATCAACATGTTGTATTACCATGGAAATTTTGAAAAACATACTTTCCCAAACAAATATTACTTTTTCTCAATGGTATGAAGTAATGAAAACCACATGTGTAAATCTGCGATCCGTGCAGTAGTTCAAGCTGCAGCTAATAGAAAATACAGAGAGTGAACTCTGCCATATAAAGGATTCTTGTTACAGAAATATAATGTGAAAACCAGATGCAGACAGAAAACCTTAATCACAGATGGGAATGTAATCACTGGCATACAGAATACTTTTTTGATCAATCTCAACCATATGAGAAATGTATTTATTTTCTAAGGAATGCAATAACTCTAGAGAGTCTTCTATTTGAATTCAGTTAACCTCATATTCACAGTGCTTTTATCTTATATGTGGAGAGAAGGGGGATAAAACCCGAGCCAAGATTTTTAGAAGAGCCGTTGGCTCTGGCAAATCATTCTTGTATCAGCTTATCTTTCAAGGAATTAATAGGATGTAAAGACTACAAATATGAGGATCAGCCTCAAAAGAAATCATTCATTATTGTACTTCCTAGTTACCTTCAGAAATCCCTTCATCACCTAGGCATTTCTCCACTTAAATTTTTCCTTCAGTATGTGGTTCTTCAGAAATACAATGCTAAGAGCAGCACACTGTCGCACTCAAGTTCTGCGACTTGGAACCTGAGTCTTACAACAATCTCCCTTTATAAAAGCTGAAGAGTCATCAGTTCAAAACTAAGTTTACTTGGGGCTTCCTTCTAACTGCTGGAAGTCCCTTCAAATGTCCTCCACCCACACAGCTCCTGGGGATCAGCAGGAAACTAAGGACCACAGCTACATCAAATGTCTAAACAGCAGACTGCCTTCTACCAAGGCAGGACCAAGATAACAGTTTTCATTGCTGGTGACATTTATGCTCTACTTTTTAGAAATGGAAGCACCACAGTAGTAGTAAATTCATGACATAAAACATGGACTATTACATCAAACTGCAGTATACGGGAAAAAAAACCCAAACACCCAAGTAAAACCAAAAAACCCAACTTGTGCCAGAAAATAAAGCTTAAGAAGGAGGAGGCATTCAGAGATGACAAGCCTCCAGGCTTTTGGTACCAGCAGCAGCAGTTTACTTCCTGGCAGTCCCTGATCCCTGCTGCACCCACCTCCTGGAGACACCCACTCTATCCAAGAATAAACAGCACTGCCTGATTGTCACAGTTCACAACTAAGCTTATTAATGTAACCTAAAGTTGATATTAATTTATTTTAATAGTACTAAATAACATAAACCACAATGACTTGGTAGCTGTTAGACCAGCAGGGAGAGGGAGTGACAAAAGTCTTTGATAGGCACAGGGTAGGCAGATTCTCCCTCTCTCTTACTCTCTTAGAGCCTGTAAGTCCCATTACCATCATCTCATTTTAAGTATCTGCATTTAAGAGGACACAGTCACTTCAGCACCCTAGTACAAGATTCCCGACAATGGCTCATCACAGGTGTTCATCAGACTAATTCTGCTGAAGTTCCTGTAAAGGTGCTTCCTTAATTGAATGCCTGTAATGCTAGGTGAAATTTGAAGTTCATTACTTGTTTTCTCCCTCACATGTTAACAACTACCAAACCATTTGATGAAAATACTTTGATTCCACACTGACACAAAAGTTTTTTTAAGCATCTTGTCTCTTCTGCCATTTAACTTTAAATTTTTGAGACTGCAGCACTGATAGAAATCAACATGTAACACTAAAGTAATACGGGCTGAATATGCTTATTTTTAAACAAGCATGCCTAAATTAATAATAAACTTTGGACAGATATATATTTTCATTTGCATGTTTTTCATATAGCATCATCATCATGTGTGTAGAGTGCTAAAAATGGAGTGAAATCTTCCAGCTGTAATACAGTTCCACGTGACAAAACAGAGAGGGATTCTGAAAACTCCTGCTTTGTGTCATGTGCGAGTGTGTATGACTGTGTCTTTTTTTTTTTCTCTTCTCTCATCTAATTTCATCTGTGAGAGACTGTCCCTAGAGGACAAGAGAAGAGAGACCCAATTAGATCGAGCGGTTGGTTTCTCCAAAATGAAGGCATCTGTTCCATGCCAACGACTTCCACATGGAAGAAAAACAGAACTTTGAAGGCATCTGTGTTCATGGTTGACAGTTGCAGATCTTAGGGTCTACTGTAATTTCCCAGCTGCAAACATGATTTGGTTGCTGCTGTTGTCAGCTGATCTCCTTGCACTGAAAAGGGAGCTTAAATAGCAAATAGCTGGATAAAAATTAGATATTCTTCTACAATACTGACACCTTTTCCCTTCTGAAGAAGGCAATTTTCCTGATTTGATGGAAGTAAATTTCTAAGTGGTTTTTAAACTAACATTTTACAAAATATTCTGCTTTTAAATGCTACTCTTTAAATAATGCACCAGTCCAAGCACAATGTATTCACTATCTGTTAGTACCTCAGGCTGGTATTTGTAAGAGTGATTCAGAAACCAGTATGATTCACCAGCCACATAATCCTGCAGCACACCTTCTTTAGGCAGGTAGACTCAGTAAAACCAAGAGTACACCTGAGCTCAGAGTTTTCACCCCAAATGCATACGTCGCATAAATAATTAGTGTGATATTTATTAGTCAACTCTCATCACTTCCAACATGAGTGGATACTTTCCAATAGACACTTTAAAGATTACTGGTAGTTCAAAACCTGGCTTACCGCATTGGGTGTGACGCAGCAAGATACTCAGCAAGGGCTGTGCACCTTCACTGCTAAAAAAAAATCAAGCAAGCTGTTAACAAGAAGCTCATCGAAAGTAGCAAGACCCTAATTGATTTTCAAAAGCATGGCACAGAGCGCCATTTAGGAATCCCAGACTACTCCTGTTGCAGTTGCAACAAAGACAATTAAAACTGGCCTAAGCAGAAAACGCACTTACGT